AAACAACCCAGTTCAGAAAACAAGTGTTTAAGGATCATGTTGCCCCCATGCAATACTTGACAGAAGGGTTTCTTTTACTTTTTCCCCAATCATGAGGCATTAGGAAAAATATTTACCTAACAAAGCTTTTAAACTTTCACATTCGTATAGTTTTCATTTGGAAGTAATTTAAAAATAGTTGAAGTGTGCTACGGTTTCTTTAGTACTGAACCATTAGTTATTAGAACAAATCACAGTCCATTTGTTTCTCTTCACAGAAATTCAGCTGAGCCCAGCTCTGCTACACAAATCGCCATTTCACATGATTTTACTATTCACTCAAACTTCTTCCTTGTAAAAGGAAGTTTTTAAGAAACAAATAGTCTATTTTCAGCAGGTGCTTTAAGAAAAGATAATTTTTAATAAATATGAAAAAAAAAAGGCATTGTACACAGATCTGTTCAATAGCATTCTACACTTCTCAACAAAATGCTGAAACTTGCTGTGTTGTGTTGCCCTCTTCAGGTCAGCAGCACGTAACATTTTCCAGTTCTTCTGCTTGCTGAGTTACTGCGTTGCAATTTCTTTCATACCATTTTTCAGACCTGAGGTTTCAAGTAGCAGCTAAGTTCACCTGCATTCCACCACTGCTTGAAGCATTTTTGGTTTAATATCCTATAAATATAAACTTGACTTTTGCCCTTTATGTCTCCCTAACCTCAATATTAATCTTGTGGATTATCAAAATATCGGACAGCATTTGAAAAGATGACTAAAAACTGACTTCAGCACTGATAAGCAAGTCTCATGACAAGAGGCTTAAAGAGCTCAATTGATTCAGCTTACCAAAGAAAGCTCCTGAAATCAATCCATAAGTGAACTTGGGAGGTCAGGAAGTCAGATGACTTTAAAGTGGCAAAACAGAACCCAGAAACTGTCAAGTCAGACAAGTTCAGACTTGAAATGCAATGGAGACTTTTCAATAATAATAACAAAAAAAAAAAATTAATTACCTACTAGCATCAAAGGGTAAATATAATTATTGCTTGAAAACTTTACAGGGAGACCCAGTATCTTTCCAAACAATCTGTTTTGATCATTTTTTTAATAGTTGTCATAACATGGGACAAATTATGCTGCTGATTTGCATACTTGTAATGGGTTTTGCAATTGATTATCAGAACTCTGCCAATTAATTTGGAAATATGAATACAACAGTCTTCAACTGCCTGGAAATGACCATGCTTGAGCTTCTGATTCATTTATTGAGACGGATATTAATAATGTCTTAAAATATTTCATTTCCCACTCCCATGTTGCTACTTTCAGAGGACAGGTCATGGCAAACATTTATGTCTACTCAGACATCTCAATACTGCAGCTTTGACATAAAAAGCAAAGTGCTGATGTACTATTAAGTATGGACAATTTCACTCAATTTACTAAGGAAGATAAATATCCGAAAAATTTGTGATTGTACAACTTAATCACAACATCTTAAGGCACTTATGATCAGAAAACCTATTCAAAGTTAAGACCTATTATGTAATTAAGTAATAAAATTAATAAACTAATCAAAAAAATAGAAGCAAAGGAAATGCTCATTCCAGCACCATAGTACTTCCCAGTACTAAAAAAAGGAACAAGCAAACGATCCCAGATCATCCCTTTTTGGCCTGGCAAACATACAACAACCAGCCTGCCTCAAGAAATTCTGACTCTAGAAAAACTCAGGAGAACTTGTCATGAAATTTTCATTATTTTTCTTTCCCATACTTTTGTAATTTTTATGTCAAGAATGAAATACAATATACAGCTTTAAATTCTATATACTCAGAGAGCAGACTCCTGGGAAAAGTAGGATGATGTGGGTGACATGGGAAGAGAGCAAAATCCCAAAATTGCAGGATGAGTGAAAACTAAGTRCACAACAACTGAGACYCRGAGTGCTCCCACAGCAGGCAGCAGTTCATCACAGCAGTCTCTTCAGCATGTAGAGACTGCTCTCCTGACTAATATGCCCTGTCACAGTGCCTGGAGCCAAAGACTGATGAAAACTTCCTGCCATCTATCAGCCTGTGTGTTCAATTAGACTGTGAAACATCAGCTGGTGTTATAAACACAGGGGGAAATTCCAAAAGCCAAACTAGCTCTAGTACTAGACATGAAAAGCAACACTTGAATTCAGAATATACTCAAAACATTACTATTATTTTCTCTCTTATCTTTAAAGAACAAGTGCAAAAAGTACTCTATTCTACAGTACTATCAGATAAAATGGCAAAAAAAAGGTTTTGTGTACCTGTCTGTTGACGACAAAGCAGCTTACACCTCTTAAGTGATGAAGTGGGGAACTTCTTTTTTGACACATCAAAGTAAAAGTATTAGAAAAAAAATAATCACTATTTTTAAACCATTTCTGGTAGAACAGTTTCCACCCATATCAAAGGTTTATCTAGTTCATGTTCCATATGACATGGCTAACAGAATACAACAGCTGGCAATAAAATCTCCCAGATACCTTAGCTAACTTTTTAAATTGCAAACAAGTTGATCTTTAGTGATTCTCAACCTTTTTTTGCATCATCTACTGTAAACACCAGGATTTTGGTCCAATCTTGGCTGCTATACTTAAAGGAAGAGGTGCTGGACAAGAGTTTTTAAAATTACCTGTGGTTAGTTTAGTTCTGACTTACCCAAGTACGACGTTCATATTTTTGCCATCTTTCTCCCACACACTCCATCAGATTTGGTCACCACAGGAGGTATGATTCATATGACTCTTTAGAAATGCATTTTAATAGATAAACTTTACAACCGAAAGAGTTTTTGAGTTTTAAAAATAATGAATTCTTCAGTGAAAAAAAAAAGTATCAGATCACTTTACTGAATGCATTTTTTCTGCAGCAATTTTGCTAACTCACATTTAATTGCTGCTAAAACCAGTTTTTCTTACTTGATATCATAATCTAGTACATTTCTTTGAAGGAGAACAAATTCATCCTCCTCGTACCAGTCAAAAGAAAATGCAGACAGTTCCTTTCACAGAATTTCCTTCTAATAATTTGGGGTAATAGAAGTTATAGAAATACAAAGGAGAAACTCTCCCCATTGAAGGTGTTCTTCATTTCCTGCCTTGTCATTTCCTACCATCCACCTGTGTATCCCTAAGGATCTACAAGAACACTGTGTGAAGACACACAGGGAATAAATATCCACTGCAACACAAACTCGGGTTAAATCAGGTGTTTACACAGGGATATACAAGCAACCAGTTAGAATGCCAAGCTGACTTTTGCCAGCATTAATGGAAATTAAATGTATTTGAAGTGGGAGTTAAATACATCTGAAGAACAATTAATAATCAGTTATTTTTGCATATGCACATTTGTCACTAACTGCTGCAAAATTATGTTAAAACTACAGGAATCAACTCCTTGTTTGGAATTAAATTACAATCACACCCTTCTTAAGGCTTTCTGAAAATTCCTTTGAATACACAGAGCAGTAATCAGCACACACTTTGACAAACCAAACAAAAAAGCTAAAGACACCTGCATCCACTTTTTTTAAAACACTGGAAATATTTAGAAATGCTAAGAGCAGTATTACTGAAAAAATACACACCAACCTTCTCAAAGGCTGTCTCAGCATAATCTTTATTTGTATTTGGTCTTAAATTCTCAGTTAGGTATTTTGGGTTTAAACTACAGCAAGTAAGGGCTTCCAATTGAAGAGACAATGGGAATCAAGACAAGTACTACTGGCTAAAGTGATAGATTTTACTGATTTATTCATTTAGTTTTAAAAAGCTTTGCTAGCTTGAAATCATGTAGTATCATAGAAGTCTTCCCTGACACCTTAAAGATCTGCAACCTATTCAGAAAACCTTCTTTTTTTTTGCAAACCCATTTACGTGATTTCTATGAAGACTTTTAAAAAACCCCACACCTATCAGAGAACAAGCAAACAACTTAGTCACCAACCAAACAAAATGCTGTGTGTACTGCTTTTCCTGATACACACTTTTTGATTCTTATACAAACCTTGCCATCTGCTATGATCTCTGACAATAACTGACTTCCGTTCTCAATCTAGGGTTTCATTATGACAGTAAATGTCTTACATCTTACATTAAAACCTACTCCAGTCCCACTGAAAGACTGCATAGGTTTCTATGTCATTATAACCTGTTACAAAGTAGCATCAGCATATTCATAACTATGAATAAAGGACTTTCTTTTCATAGCTATAGGTGCAAAACTTAAATATAAATAGATCAAAACATTCCAACAGTGCACAACTGTTTAATTTACAGAGAGGTTACACAAGTTTGTAGCTTGTATAAGCTTTTTAACCATATAACGTTCCAAACTTCATTGTGACCTTAATGCTATAAAAGCTAGGGAGATGTCAAAAGTTGTAAGTATATTCCAAGGAATATATCTCAAAAAAAGTTGAGAAAAATAAAGTGGTGGTGCATTAAAACAGAAAAAAACATTCAAAGCTAGTTTTGGATTGTGAAGTATCCAATTAGAAGACAAAGGTAAGAACCAGATGCAAGACCTATGCCATTACTTCCACCTTAAAATGCCAACAACAAAGAAGACTATACAGTGGTTGAAGAAAAACTGTTGCTCCTAAAATACTTGACTTAGACCTTTCATAGGTCATTTTGATCTAAGCCCTCCTCATATTTAATAGTTATTTTAAATAACAGAATTAGGTTGTTGTATTATTTAAAAAAAAAAAAAAACAAACAGACAAACATCATGTACACGAACCTTAGCATGTTCTCAAGTATTACACACTTATAATACAATGAATGTTAATCACCTATTAGAATATATATAGTCTATTTTGTTTGCTAATCCTACAACTCAAGGGTCCAGCAAAGATGGGCATGCAAAGTTTTACCATATTGCTAGAAAAGAAAACATATAATTCTGAAAACAGATTAAAATATATGACACCTCAGTGGAAGAGTTTGGTAAAAGTGGCTTTATTTTATTGTCTCCTACCTGATAAATTCTAAATGGGATGTATCGAAATCCATTATCTTCTGGAGGATACTCCATGAGTTTTCGATTTATTGCCCAAAACTGCTCAAATTTATCTGTGAAGGTAAAATTAGACTTTGTCAACATCAAGAACAAATATTTTTTCAGCCTAAATGAGACACAACTGGAACAACATGCAAACTTATCTTAAGGAAGTTTAACATGTACAAATTATTTTTCCCACATTTCTCTTCCCTATTTAGCCTGAAGCCAAAAGTAGGCCATCTACATTCTCCTATGAAAACAGTGATGTGGTGATTTATTGGACTGAAAGAGAAAGCAACTTTAACTCGTATCTTATCTCCCACTGTTAAGGAAATATTGGGCTATAAATTATGGATTTCATTACCTCAGCTAACAGTGCCAGTTTCCCCACTCCCTGCTCCTACTGGTCTATACTGTCTCACAGTCTGCTAAAAACATCGAATTGTTCTTAACTATAGAAGAACAATGGGTGTAAAGTATAGAGAAACTAAAGCAGGAGAAATACTTTTTGAGTGGTTTATATTTGGATACGTAGATCTTAAAATAATCTGCAACAATGCATGATATAGCCAGAAAATTTACTACCAGATTCACAACAACCTGAAAATAAAAGTTTATGCTTGAAACACATTTGTTATTATCCAAGCAACTAGGGTTAGCAAAACAGTCTGCACATAATTTCATGCTGTTCAGACATTACAAGAACTGAACAGTTTATTACATTTAAAATGTTTTAAGGACAGCATAAGTCCAAGAGTAATAAAGACCTTTATACATGCAAATCAATCATTCAAATGAAGGAAATAACTAATATCAGAAGTGACAGAAAGGAATATGAAAAGCTAAGATGAATAAAGCTGCTATTAGCCTTACTGGAGAAGGCAGTTTTAGAAGGGGAAGAGCAAGGGATCCATTTCCTTATAGACCTCAACTCTCCAAGACACCAAATGTGGATGTTTCCATAGAAGGAATACAGTGCAAAATTGTCCCTCCTTGGCACAATGTTTAGTCAAGTCTCAAGAAGCTGGGCTCTTATAAAATACATCCATTACAGAATTCAGTCCCACTAAAGCAAGGTAAAATTCAGAAATGTATTCACAGGACAAAGGTTCTTCCTGCTTCCAAAAGTAGGATATAAACATATAAAGCAATTGCAGAAAATGAGTTTCAGATTTGCTTCACTCCAGCATACAGCACAGATAGATGCATGTCAGTGCACTAAAAAGCACAGTTCAGTATATACACGTTTTATAAGACATTGCTTTTCCTGACTGAATGCAACACAAGGCAGGAATTTCCAAGAAACTGTGAACAAACTCCTGCCAGGTATGCTGTAGGAGCATTTCCTGATACTCACCTCAGAAAGTACTTCCACACCCTTGTTTCCTGATTAGTAGCAAGTGCCTCTTGACAGGCACTTACCTGAGCTATACTCAGCACCAGCAGGCAGGCACCTGCCCTGGATGAGGAGCTGCCAGGATGCAGGGTGTTACCCCATAGCAGGGTATGGTCACTCCCTGCTAGGCTGGGAGTGACAATGACAGCCCTGGAGCACACTGTAATCACGCAATCCCACATTTGAGAACCCCAGTCTACAGAGTCAAAGGTTTAGTCTTAAAATGTGCAACACTAAGGATGACTGCCTCCTCCTCAGGAACTCTTACAGTGAGAAGGTGAAGATTTCGTTTGCTTCCTTTATCCTTGAAGGTAGCACTGAGAATGGCTTGCAGCTTTCACCACAGATAGGTGAACAGGCATCCTACAGTAGGGACTGGTAGATTTATACCTCAATTACCACTTCAAACTCACTTAAGAAAACTGTCATGGTAACACACAAAAAAAACAACTGAGACCTACTCAAGCGAGTGAGTTTCATCACACTTAAATAAGGAATCTCCATATGTGGAGATATCCCATTGAACAGAAATAAACATTATTTACTAGTTTAATGCTCATATTATAGTAATTAGGCAAGCTGGGTGAACGGTTTACTGTCCTCAAAATTCACCAGAAATGAACAACACATCTTATGGATGAGAAGAAAAAGAAATTATGAACAAATAACAGACTTACATTAGAAGATTAAGTATATTGACCCTTGTGGCATATATGGCAAACAAGGGAGGCTCTGAATGACAAAAATAAAGTTAAACAGTGGTAATGTGCAGTTAAGTCACTTTTGTTCTTCATTCCTGCTTCCTCACTTCCAGAAAACATGCCGTAAACCAGGTAATCTTATTCAAGGCAGGCAATCACAAAATTTGTATCTCTCAGATTATTCTCTGAACACTTAAGACAATCTATTGTTCAAAGTTCTAATAGTTTCTGTAGTTTCCAAATATAACAGTGCTAAATCTGCAACAGTTGAGTTCTGTCAATCCACCTGATAGCCCAGGAATTTTAGCTAGACATAATGGAGTCACATATCTTAAGACAGATCTCCACTGTGCATACAACACTATCTGAACACTCTAATCAAATTCCTCCTCACAACCTTATTTTGCTGTCCTTCAAACATCTTTCCAGGGATACAGTATTTTTACTGCAGGAAACAGAGTTGCATGTTAGAAAACTAAGATTTTTAAAGGAAGTGGCAGAAAAAAAGCTATCCACACTGACATATATGCCCTGGCAAGAGCTTTTATTAGCAGAGCATTGGCTCAGTGCTAGAGTCCCAAAGCTCCAAAAGTACAAAATACAAAAGTAACTGCTTTTCACAGAATCCTTTAGACTCAAAACTTAAAATACACAAAACCTGTACTGGGACAAATATTCCCCCAATCTCCTTAAAAACCCAAGTCAAAGGATTCATCCTTCTCCCATTTTAACATATCAATACTCCATATTTTTGCAAAGTCTTAAAGACGTTATTAGTGCTACAATGAGTTATAAGAACTAATTAGTTTATTGGCTAGACAGGACAAAGACAGAAGGTGCTGGCCAGAAACGTACTAATCAAAACAAAACTGAGTTTTCATCAAGCCAGTAAACAAGGAAGAGTTCTCTGCCTCTACCTACCAGCAAAAGCACTTTACACACTTGTCTCCCGCCCTTGTGAAAAGCTTATGTAGTCTGCACGATATCTAAACTACTGTAACAGTCAAATCTGACTACTTTTGTTTTTCTCAGTCCATCTGTTTTTAAGAAAGTGCTTGCTCAAAGTGTTAGAGTTTCTGTATTAGCAAAAAGCAGTACTTGCAAAAGGCAGATGTCCATATCTGAATAACAATTTAAAGTAATGACAGTAAGATTTGAAGAGAAGTGAGAATAGTGACAGTGTAAAAGTTTCATGTGACTCCACTAATCATATTTCTTGAACAAGAGATAATGACTGCTATATAACTTAGCCTAAAATAAAATATAAAAACTTTTCTCTCTGTATTTTATGTCCAAGATCAGAAAGTTAATAACCAAATAAT